AAGATTACTCTGACTTTTTGTTGAACAATATATGATGTTTCTAGGTGTGGTAATTTTATGCTGTCACTCAGACTCTTGGTTGGCAGCAATGGTGGCTGGTGAAAAGGTTGACAAATTCGCAAACATTAGAAAGGGCATACAGCAAAACAAAAAAAAAAAAAAGGAAAAATAAGGAAAAAAAGAAGCTCATTAAATCTCATTGGGTGCATGGCTCACACCTGTGATCCCAACACTGGGAGGCTGGGGTGGGAGGAACACTGACCCAGGGGTTCAAGATCAGTGTGAGCAACATAGGGAGACCCTGTCTCTACAAAAATAAAAAGTAAAAATTAGCTAGGCATGGTGGTGCTTGCCTTAGTCCCAGCTACTTAGGAGGCTGAGGTGGGAAGATCGCTGGAGCCCAGGAGGTCAAGGCTGCAGTGAGCTGTGATCATGCCACTGTACTCCAGTCTGGTAACCAGAGTGAGACATTGTCTTGAACAAAACAAAACAAAAAAACCCCAACTTATTCAGAAGTCCATGTACAATAGTTTGAGTTGGCTGTTTAAGATCTTCTTTAAGTATAATGTTTTTCAATATGTCAACTGAAAGTTAATTTTCCTTTAATACTCACTTGTATCATGCAATATTATGACAACAAAAAAGAAAAACTACAGAAATTGAGCATGCTCTTGTCTGCTTTCCTGGTGGTTTTGATCAATTTGTGACAATGTTTTCATTAGATTGAACTCTGTACCAAGATGACATAGCAGAAAATCTCCCTTCTATTTTCTAGGGGAAGGAAAAGAAAATATTCCTCCTCCCAAAGAATGATTAGTGATGAGAAATGACTACAGAATAGGGACTTAGCATTTTACAAACTGAGGACAGGAGAACTCTCTCAGGATGGCGGTTGCCGTAACAAGGTGTCTTAGGAAAGCAGAGGTCTGAGAAGAAGAGTTGAGGGGAAATCTGACCTATTCGATGTGACACGTGGCTTTCAGGAGGGCAGTTTTTACCAGAAGTCAAAAAGGGTTTGTTTGGGCCCATCAAGAATGGACTTTGAAATTCCATAGACCAAGAGGGCTAAATTCAACAGTTGACCTTAGACTGGAGGGTAAACACGATGTGGTAACCAGAGGAACTCTAATTGAAGGGCCTGAAGAATTGAAGGGAATTACAACAGGAAGCCTCTGGGAGGATTATATCGTCAACCAAGCAGCATAAAGTCACTGTGTCACCCCTGAATTGTATGCCTCGCAGCCGCCTCCTCACACTTCCTGTCATTGCGGGGGCAACGGAATTGACAGTGTGGCCTGAGCAAGAGTGTTTTGGTGACAGGAGGATTCTTCTAGAGATAAAAAGGCATTGGAGAAATATTAAGATTTAGAAACATGATCTGTGATAGAGATGTTTTTCTTCTTTTTTTTATACTTGGGGTAATAGCAAAACATTAACCTGGAATCTGATAAGTAACAGAAAAGGAAGTTCCTCCCTCTCAGAGAATCACCAGTCTGTTTGGGTTCTGCCCTTGCTGATGGGCTGAGGTATCGGTGAAGAATTTCCCTCTTTGCTGCCGCCTTGTACAGCGTGACGGGTATGGGTTTTGGATCGTTGACTGTGCTGCAAGGTCATTTCTCTGGGTGAATGGCAGGGGGAAGATCTAAATGAATCATCACCAGAGACTTCAGAGCTGGGAAGAGCTCGTCACCAGGTCCTAGAGGGGCTAGAAAGTCATTCATTGTGTTTAAAGGGTATCCATCATAGTACCTTGCAAGTTACTTGGGAACATATGTCCGCTTCTTGTGAAACTCAGGAAAATAGTTAGCTTTTTAAAGAAGGTGAATTGTCACTTTTCTTTGGTCGGAAAAAAATGGGCTGGTGGGTCAGCAGCTCATGCCAGGGAGGAAAGACAATGTCCAGTGGTCAAGAGGAGTTGAAGCGAAGGAACCTACTTCAAACTGGACCAGCCCAGAAGGGGCTAGAAGGGATCCTGGGATCAGTGTTCCAGTCCCTTATTGCAAAAACGCCCCCACTATCCCCCTGGCAGGCATCCTGCTTTAGAGATGGGTGCCCAGCACAGAACATGTTTTGAGAGAACACATCCATCCTATTCTTTCCCCGGAGCCAGGTCTCACAGTCCTCTCGATTAGCTACGGGCAGACGGACAAACCTGAGGTCGTGAGCAATCTTCTCCTCCATGACCCCAAAGCCACTGACGTAGCCCATCAAGCCCAGGTCATAGGAAGTCTCGTTGTCAGGGAGGCAGATGGGGAGGAGGTTGGGACCCAGGGTAACACTATTTTCCAGCTCCAGCAGGGCGATGTCCCCCTCAAAATTGTGGGACTCATCCTGACGGTAGTCCGGGTGGATGCTGACCCTGCGGATGGGGTGACTTTCCAGCTTCATGAGCTCTTCTACATTTGTATGGCCCAGGAACACATCCAAGGGGACATTACTTTGTGCATCGTGTTCCTTGGGATACAGGGTGTGGGCAGCCGTGAGGATCCAGCGGTCGCCCAGCAGGGTCCCGCCCCTGTGCCTGTGGATGTTGGTGAACACCTGCCAGGGGAAGTTGCCCATCTTGGCTTTTTGCCCTCCGATGATGTGCTGCCTCTGTTCCACAGGGTGCCCAGGCTTCCCACACACTGAGGGAGAGAGAGGGAAGACAAGGGCAAGTCAGCTCTGGGTCTCCCACCTCTTCCTTCTGCGGCCAGCCAGCTCCCCGTTTGCCCTCTCTTTTTGACTTGTCTCTTTTCTCTTTTTCCTCCCATCTCCACACTTCCTTCATTGGCCTATTGACAGGCTCTTCTCCTTGTTTTTGTTTTTTGAGACTCCTTGCTCTGTGGCCCAGGCTGGGGTGCAATGGCGTGATATCAGCTCACTGCAACCTTTGCCTGCCGGGTTCAAGCAATTCTTGTCCTTCAGCCACTCTAGTAGCTGGGACTACAGGTATGTGCCACCATGCTTGGCTAATTTTTGTATTTTCAATAGAGGCTGGGTTTCACCATGTTGGCCAGGCTGGTCTCGAACTCCTGACCTCAGGTGATCTGCCTGCCTCGGCCTCCCAAAGTGCTGGGATTACAGGTGTGAGCCACCACGTCTTGCCCCTTGTTCTTGTTTATTTCTTCCTGGGGTGTCTTCCGTTGTTTTTATTCTCTGATTTCCCATCTGCTTAGTGAAAATGCTGGCATTTCGGGACTGAATTCAGCACTCTTCCCCTCTCTCTCTTTCTCCTGGTATGTTCCCCTCTCCTCTCCTCTGTCTCCTTTTTCTGGGCCATGCTGCTTCTGAGGACTTTCAGGCTGCTAACGATCCTGAGGATGGCCCCAGAGGGTTTCCACTCACCTGGCAAGCACCGAGGAATCTTCCCTTCCTTCTTTTCATTCTTCCAAATGCCCTGTGCTGTGCAGGTGTACACCCCCGAGGGCAGAGGAGGCAAGAATCAAGTTGGGAGGTGATGGGTAAGAAAATTAGGTTGCAGAGGCCAGCAAGTACTGAGTGTGCTCGACGGGGAGAGGGGTAGGGAGGAACAACATGGCAAGGGCCAAAGGTCAAAGGCTCAACTCTAGAAGGAAAAAATGTCAAGTGTTCAGAGGCTCTAGACCTGTATTTTGTTTTAATGTCAAGTAAAAAAATCGGAATGCTTAACCATTAATATATGTTTGCTGTGATCCCTGTTTGTGAAAGTAGACATAAAAACCAGAAGGAATGTATCAAAATCTTATCAGTGATTGCGTCTTAGTCATGGAATCATAGATGATAATTGTAGCTACGTCTTCTGATTGCTGAAAATGTGCCATGCTTCTTACTTTATCTGCATGATCTTATTTAAACACTATAGTGACACTTGCAGGTGTGTGTTATTATCCTCATTGTGGATGAGGAGGCTGAGCTTAAATAATTTGCACAGGGTCACATAACTTCTAAGTGCCAGAACCAAGGTGCAAGAGGTTTTCTGACTCCAAAGTTCAGCTCTTAATGAATACCATTTATAATCCAGATTTTTTTCCTTTTTTTTCTGTTTCAAACCTATAATGCATGTGATTTCTAATATTTAAAAAAAGTTCGAAAAATACCCACTAATAAGTGAGAGTCATTTAGTAAAACTAAGTGCAAAAATCACAACCAGGTTGAGAGGGGAGAATGGAGAGGGGAGTTTCACTGAGTTAGCTGTAGTGGTCATGATGGTGGCAAAGACTGTGGTGTTGGTGGTGATGGTGGTGTTGATGTTGGTAATGATGGTGGCAATTGTGATGTCGATGTTGATGATGACAGTGTTGTTGTTAATGGTGGTATTGTTAATGGTGTTAATGGTGGTGGTGGTATTGATGGTGATGATGGTGTTGGTAATGGTGATGGTGGTAATGGTGGTGGTGATGGTAGTGTTGGTGTTGGCAATGGTGGTGGTGGTGATAGTGGTGTTGTAATGGTGGTGGTGATCATGGTAGTGTTGACAATGGTGTTGGTTATGATGATAGTGGTGATGGTGGTGATGGTGGTGTTAGTGTTGGTGGTGATGACGACGTTGGTAATGGTGATGGTGGTGATGATGGTGTTGGTAGTGTTGATGGTGGCACTGGTGTTAGTAATGGTGGTGATAGTGGTGTTGGTAATGGTGGTAATAATGGTAGTGGTGATGGTGGTGTTGGTAATGGTAATGGTATCGATTGTGGTGATGGCAGTGATGGTGGTGATTGTGCTGGCATTGATGCTATTGGTAGTGTTGCTTGTGTTGTTACTGGTAGTGGTGGTGATGGCAATGATGGTAGCAGTGGGGATGTGGTGGAGGCAGTGGTGGTAGAGGGGACGATGTGGTGACAGTGAGCTGTTTATGTGATTTGAATCTTTTCTTTGCATCAGCTCCTCCTTCTTCAAACCTAGTAGCTTTCTCTTTGCGCTACAATTCAGGCCCCTGAAGCCAGTGCCCTGGCAGATACCTTAATATGCATTCCCTAGAGATTCTACTGGGAGAAATCTCAGAGGATACCCCAAGGGGATGGAAGGGAGAAAATTTCCATTTGTGTTAGTCCCTACTTTGCTCAGACTCCCTGCTGCCAGCCCTGGTCTGCATCTTGTAATATGGCTCGTGGCAGTAGTACTGGATACAGGCCTTGTAGGTACTCACCCCCATTGTGGTGGTGTAATGGAAGGCAGATTTCGGGGCTGCCCACAGTCCTTGACTTGGAGAGAACACAGGGCAGGGTGAGAGCTGAGAAAGACTGTGCTGGACCTTAGTGGTGAGAGTGTGAGTTATCTACCTGCAGAGCACGTTGAGAGGCTTAGAAAAAATAGTCAGTGGCGAGGGCCCTTACAACGGACAGGAGTTGGGTGGTGTGAAATTCAGTTCTGGGTAGAGCCCATCCATCCCATTGAGATGAGGACTCACTGATTCCTGAGATGAGGGCTCACTGATTCCTGAGATGGGCCATAGGCATCAAAGGACAAGTCTCTTTGACCCTCATCCAAGGGTGAGGGTCTGTTGGAAAGAGGCTTAGTCTGGACCCCTCCTTCTTTCTTGGCCCAGGTCCTCAAGGTTGGAGGTGGGAAGTCCCCAGGATCATATCCCTGAATTGTGACTTACTGTTGCATCTGGGCATGGCACGATGCCATGTGCCGTCATCCTGGCAGACAGCTGTGAAGGAGTGCAGCACCTGGTTCCCCTGTTGAGCAGAGGAACAGGCGCCATCAGTGCCAAGAGGCAATGCAGGTCCCCTTCTTGCCCTTCCCACACAGGAGTGGGAGGCAATACAAAGACATCTCTCAGCTCCCCCATGGATGTGGCTCCTTCTTCCTTCTCCCCAGCCTGTTACAGACAGGAGAACTGAGCTACACTGCAGCAAGTCAGAGCGGGACTAATTGATAGACCCGATCATCCTCTCTCTAGACTGTGGCCTGTTCCCACTGAGGTCCAATTGAATCCCACAATTTGTAATTAAAAA